ATAGTTATATTCATCATGAGCAAGACAAATAATTTACGAAAGAAACGCGCATACTTGTACACATTAAAATTCGTGATTACTTTAAAAAGCAAGTCATGAGAATTCTACTCGTGTAGAAAAAGTAGTTTTTGCATAATAATAATGATATAATAATAACTGTTATTTTCATTATCAATAACAAAAAACAAATGATGATGGTAAAAGGGAAATATAAAAAAAGCAATGATAATGATATTGGTAATGATAACTGCATTAATGACATATTCTAAAAATGATTATAAAAGTAGCAACAATGAAAAATGCTACCAATGATAAGAATGATATGACAATGATAATGATTTTGTTACCGATAAGAAAAGGATAATGTTGATTATAGCTATGATTAGTAAATAACTAAATAAAAGTGTATTTGTGATTGTCTCCGCCGGGAATCGAACCCGGTATTCCCGCTTCAGAGGCGGCTGCGTTAACCGTTACACCACGGAGACTTACGAATATAGAGTGTAGAAAATATAATTCAGGATAACAGAAGTTTTTTGGGAGGTTGTCTATATATATTTATTTGTTTATTTGTTTATTCATCTATTTTCCTTTGTTGGTCTGTTCCCGTAATTTTATATAATGATACTGGAAACAGGCTCTCTCGGAGTAGGTTACCCCCCCCCATGTGTTTTGCAATGACAATGCTGTTATGGCGATAAACAAACGCCACTAATAGTAAACTAATGATGAAAAAAAATATAATATAGCAGTGTATTGATACTGATACTGAAACAAAGAAATGATTCTGATAATCAGACTAAAGTAACAACGATGTTAATTATACAAAGCTTTTAAACTTTATATCTGTTGTTACCATTGCAATAATAATAATCAAATCAGAGATAATATAGAAAATGCATAATTGATAACAATACTATTGAATCAATCTCTCTCTCATGCTTTTATCTGTTGATGTTGGCTGTTTTTGACCTTGACTTTAAAATTATTTTAATACCTACATGGCGACATAAAACAATGGAAGATAAGCATCTTGAAAATGTAATTAAATAAGTACTAACAAACATATCAAATGAAGGTTGACTCACTACAATTGTAACAAAGTAAGAATTAAAGCCCACGAATAGATTTTAACTATGTTTACAAAATCAATAAAATGTGGAGTGAAAGAGAGACAGAGAGGGAATGAGAGAGAGAGAGGGGGGGAGTGGAAAGAAAAAGAGATGCAGAGAAAGAGAAGAATTTAATAGAAAAACACTCCCAAACACACATTCATTTTGCAGAACAGGACACAATGATATTGGAAATAAAAGTGAACACAGTGTCTATTCCTACCGGAGACAATAAAATCTAGTCCATATAAGTTTCTTCATCAACTCTATATCATTATCATTATCATCAACTCTATATCTATATCATATTGTAAACAAAGAGGGAGAAGCACATACTGAGAGAGAGAGAGATATGGAGAAAAAAGAGAGTAGAGAGAGAGAGGAGACGGAGGCAGAGAGAGATACAGGGACAGATAAAGGAAACGAGAAAATGAGATATACATGTATTTATATATATGGTGAGAGAAAGATGGACAGTTATATAGAGGTAGACGCATCAACACATTATTGATAATCAAAATGTTTCTCAACAAAAGAAATCCTATAATATAGTTTACGTCCTTTTCGTCCTTAAAACAAGCGCACAAACAAAAATCAATACAGCTACTGCAAGGGAATTAGACACAAATGATTGAAAAACAAATGATTGCCGCTTGTCAATCAAATACATAGGGATCTTTAACACTAAGTAGGCCTATATACTTAAGAGTGTTACAACCAATATATTCATGAAGTCCATGTATATATACAATTATATTCATCAGCAAGTTTGAAATGATTTACGAAAGAAACGCACATACTTGTACACGTGACATTTCGTAATTACTGTAAACAAGTCATTGAGAATTCAACTCGTGTAGAAATCAAGAAATTGCCGTTATTTTTAAGCCTACATCTCGTGTCCTACTCACCAGTGATAATAATCATTTAATTAACAATAATAATGATGATTTTGCTACCGATAAGAAAAGGATAATGTTGATTATAGCTATGATTAATAAATGACTAAATATAAGTGCATTTGTGATTGTCTTCGCCGGGAGTCGAACCCGGTATTCCCGCTTCAGAGGCGGCTGCGTTAACCGTTACACCACAGAGACTTGGAAATGCATAGTGTAGAAGAAGTTTTTTGGGAGGTTGTTTATATATATCTTGTAAGTTTATTTGTTTACTTGTTTATTCATCTATTTTCCTTTGTTGGTCTGTTCCCGTAATTTTATATAATGATACTGGAAACAGGCTTTCTCGGAGTAGGTTCCCCCCCCCCCATGTGTTTTTGCAATGACAATGACTGTTATGGCGATAAACAAACGCCACTAATAGTACAACTAATGATGAAAATATAATATAGCAGTGATAATGATACTGATACTGACAAAGAAATCACAAAGTTGATCATGATAATGATTCTGATAATCAGACTAAAGTAACAGCGATGTTGATTATACAATGCTTTTAAACTTTATATCTGTTGTTACCATTGCAATAATAATAATCAAATCAGAAATAATATAGAAAATACATAATTGATAACAATATTATTGAATCAATCTCTCTCTCATACTTTTATCTGTTGATGTTGGCTGTTTTTGACCTTGACTTTAAAATTATTTTAACACCTACATGGCGACATAAAACAATGGAAGATAAGCATCTAGAAAATGTAATTAAATAAGTAGGAACAAACATATCAAATGAAGGTTGACTCCCTACAATTGTAACAAAGTAAGAATTAAGGCCCACGAATAGATTTTAACTATGTTTATAACATCAATAAAATGTGGAGTGAAAGAGAGACAGAGAGGGAATGAGAGAGAGAGGGGGGGGGGGGAAGTGGAAAGAAAAAAATACAGAGAAAGAGAAGGATTTAATAGAGAAACACTCCCAAACACACATTCATTTTGCAGAACAGGACACAATGATATTGGAAATAAAAGTGAACACAGTATCTATTCCCACCGGAGACAATAAAATCTAGTCCATATAAGTTTCTTCTTCAACACTATATCATATTTATTGTAAACAAAGAGGGAGTAGTACATACTGAGAGAGAGAGAGAGAGATGGAGAAAAAGAGAGAGTAGAGACAGAGAGGAGACGGAGGCAGAGAGAGATACAGGTACAGATAAAGGAAACGAGAAAAATGAGATATACATGTATTTATATATATGGTGAGAGAAAGATGGACAGTTATATAGAGGTAGACTCATCAACACATTATTGATAATCAAAATGTTTCTCAACAAAAGAAATCCTAAAATCTAGTTTACTTCCTTTTCGTCCTTAAAACAAACGCACAAAACAAAAATCATTACAGCTACTGCAAGGGAATTAGACACAAATGATTGAAAAACAAACGATTGCCGCTTGTCAATCAAATACATAGGGATCTTTAACACTAAGTAGGCCTATATACTTAAGAGTGTTACAAACAATATATTCATGAAGTCCATGTATATATACAATTATATTTATCAGCAAGTTTGAAATTATTTAAGAAAGAAACGCACGTACTTGTACACGTGACATTTCATAATTACTGTAAACAAGTCATTGAGAATTCAACTCGTGTAGATATCAAGAAACTGCCGTTATTTTTAAACCTACATCTCGTGTCCTACTCACCAGTGATAAGAATTATTTAATTCACAATAATAATGATGATTTTGCTACCGATAAGAAAAGGATAATGTTGATTATAGCTATGATTAGTAAATAACTAAATAAAAGTGCATTTGTGATTGTCTCCGCCGGGAATCGAACCCGGTATTCCCGCTTCAGAGGCGGCTGCGTTAACCGTTACACCACAGAGACTTGGATATAAATTGTGTAAAAGATATAATTCAAAATAACAGAAGTTTTTCGGGAGGTTGTTTATATATATCTTGTAAGTTTATTTGTTTACTTGTTTATTCATCTATTTTCCTTTGTTGGTCTGTCCCTGTAATTTTATATAATGATACTGGAAACAGGCTTTCTCGGAGTAGGTTACCCCCCCCCCCATGTGTTTTTGCAATGACAATGACTGTTATGGCGATAAACACACGCCACTAATAGTACAACTAATAATGTAAATAAAATATAGCAGTGATAATGATACTGATACTGACAAAGAAATCACAAAGTTGATCATGATAATGATTCTGATAATCAGACTAAAGTAACAACGATGTTCATTAGTACAATGTTTAAACTTTATATCTGTTGTTACCATTGAATGATAATAATCAAATCACAAATAATATAGAAAATGCATAAAATAAAAAACTATTGATCAATCTCTTCTCTCATACTTTTATCTGTTGATGTTGGCTGTTTTTGACCTTGACTTTAAAATTATTTTAATACCTACATGGCGACATAAAACAATGGAAGATAAGCATCTAGAAAATGTAATTAAATAAGTAGTAACAACACGTATCAAATGAAGGTTGTGACTCCCTACAATTGTAACAAAGTAAGAATTAAAGCCCCGAATAGATTTAAAATGTTTTATAACATCAATAAATATGTGGAGTGAAAGAGAGACAGAGAGGGAATGAAAGAGAGAGGGGGGGTGAAGTGGAAAGAAAAAGAGATACAGAGAAAGAGAAGGATTTAATAGAGAAACACTCCCAAACACACATTCATTTTGCAGAACAGGACACAATGATATTGGAAATAAAAGTGAACACCAGTATCTATTCCCACCGGAGACAATAAAACTA